TAATAACTTGTAAATCGTGTAATTAGATTACATGTAATCATAATTACATGTAATCAAATTACATGTAATCAAATTACATGTAATCATATATTTTGATTACTTGTAATCATAATTACTTGTAATCGTTTTTGTTGTGATTACTTGTAATCGCAATTACTTGGAATCATGATTACAAGTAATTGATTACTGTAATCAAAATTGTAATCATGATTACAGCTGTAATCAAAATTTTTTGAAAGTTGTAATCATGATTACAAGTAATTGATTACTGTAATCGACTATGTAATCATGATTACAGCTGTAATCAAACTTTGTAATCACGATTACAAGTAATTGATTACTGTAATCAAGAAATGTAGTCGATTACATTTTTGGCCAAGGTTTGCCTAGATGCGTACCTAGGTTTGCAAAACCCTTAACCGTATAGTCCACTTCTGGACGACAGTCTAGCTCGCACAAAACTCATAACTGCTCAATACAGATGACAATAAAGATGACAATAGTTCGTATCACATTACTTAAATTTATTTAAAAAAAAAATTGAAACAAAGAGAACAATAAATGAAGCGAATTTTGTTATATACCTAATAATTGAAAAAAAAGAAGCAAAAAGAAAACAAATAAAGAAAATGTAAACGAGGACGAAATTTTTAATGAAGGACGAGTTATGCTAACCATTTAAAAAAAACTATCAAAATCTGTCTAATATTTGCAAATTTAGTTTGCATTTATTTACAGTTTTGCCATACGGGCAAGCCATGTAATATTAGAGTGGCATTCAACGTGTTAATGGTTTAAGTACACACAAAATTTTAAACCAGTAAAATATTTTATTGCTTTTGAGAAAAATATAATTTTTAATTATTTTAATAGGTCCAGATAGTTGGGGACAAAAGTATCCTAAATGCAATGGCAACTCTCAATCACCGATCAACATAGTATCAAGTCAAACTGTGAACAGCGGAACACGTCAAATATTAATGCTCAGTGGTTATGAGAATCCAGTTGGCAAACTTAATATTTCGAATGATGGTCATTTTCGTAAGTATTATTACAATTAACCAGTTAGAGCCGTGGTGGATCAGGGATTAGAACGTTCGCCTGCCTATGAAGTGAACCGGGTCCGAATCCAAGCGATGGTTAGTCGATGCGAATTCCGCACCCGGCTGCACTGACCACAGGCTGATGTAAAATATCTTCATTGTTTGACGGATCATGGGTTAGAGTCCCTTTGCCAACAGGCTAACCGTGGGAGGTTTTCCTCTCCATGTGACGTAAATGCGGGTTAGCTCTATCAAAAAGTCCTCCACGATGACAAATTTCTTCTGATACTTGATCCAGACCTGTGATGGCTTGGAGGATAAAACGTTTGCCTTCCGATGAGATGAACTGGCTTCAAATCCCGGCAATGGTTGGGCGACGTGAATTTCGCATCCGGATTGTACCGACCACAGTGCTATCTATAATCTATAATTTAATATAATAATAAAAAAGTAATAAACATTTATTTATAAATATTAATTTTTATTAAATATTAATTTTGCTTTCGAAATGTAAACAACAGTTTATAAATGATATATAAAGGGTAAACTTACCCCTTTATTGGTTTTTTTGACGCTGGGGTCTGTAGAGATTTCTTAACTAAATAATAAACGATCTGAAAAAACATTAGTATATTTAATAACATAAGTAAATGACAAAAAATATGCCACTAGTTGATCACTGACATGCTGCTTTCTGAGAGTGATAACAACAACTCCTACCGCGCATGCGTTAGGGAAGTTCTGTTCGGTTACTAATGCATTTCCGACAAAAACCATTTTATTTTTTTACTGTCATTTGTAGGGTGTGAAAGATTCTCTTGATATATTTAATTAGAAACTATTCATCACTATATTTACTTTGGTAAAAAAAAAGAGAAAAAAAATCAACAGCTCCCTATGTATGTTATACTTATAAAAAAATTATTAGTTGTAAGCTTTACGTAATACTAATCATAATACTATTTGTCCTGCTTCTAGGGGTGTATACGAACCATTTTTTGATTTTAATTCAACCTCCTTCTAAAATTAAATTCTCCACTTAATTCACTAAGTTTTTTGTAGCTGCCCTAACCCAAGGATTTAGGTTTCAGAGTTAAGTTTCCTACTACTGAATGTATCATTTGAAAATATTTCTCATGTGAATAAAACATTTCATGCCCTGATAAATATTTCTCGAGACCTTTAACCGGCTCTAATTAATTTTGAATACATTTTGAACATCCTGTATTCTTTTATTACATGCATAATGAACAAAATTCATTTCTTCAGAAGTTTATACAATAAATAGAAGTTTATACTATTCTTTATCAATTCGCGTACTTTAAAAGCAATAAATTGCATTCATTTCTGCTTTTTCCCCAACAAAATTAATCTTATTTCTTTTAGTTGATGTAAAAATACTAGATGGAGTCGAAAGATCTGTAACAATCGATGACAAGAAATACTCATTAAGCAACTTCCATTTCCATTGGGGAAGTAGCACAGATATGGGATCGGAGCATGAGCTTAATGGTAACAAATATACAATGGAGGTAAGTTGTAGAGAATTATACAATAATGCTGAAAACATCGTATAAAACACGAGAATATTGTAATTTTCTTGACACAGTAAAATCAGTGTTTATTTTCAATAATGATGCGTTATTATTGCTATGCTAGTTGAAGCTTTAATAGCTCTGCCTAAAATTTTTCACAACTACACTACAGTAAAATGTTTCTAAATATTTTAATCAGCTTTTCTTTTTAAAAACCTTTTGAAGACAATCAAAATATTACGCAGGATAAAACCTCTGACTGACCACCCATACAAAATATGTTTTAATTCCAAGAAAACTTGTGTAATGTGGTTTAAACGCAAAAATATAAATCAACAAGTGCTAAAACCGTATTAAAATGTACTACATGAAGTATGAGTGTAACTAAAACTAACTCTGCAACTTGAACATTTTCTATATATAATTTTTATGCTGAAGTAAAAAGATTAATTAATAAAAGATTGATTGATTGATACTGCAAAATGGAGACATGTACTTTCATGGACAGAACTGTCTGGTGGTAGTCTTTATTGATACTGCTGTTTAGACCAGGATAACCAATAAATCAGTACTGTAGTCTTTTAAAATTAAATATTGAGGATAATTTGCTTCATAAGTTGCCTACTGCTAAGATAATTGATATAAGTGGTTATCATAATTATGCAAACACTTCTATATTAACTCTAAGAAAACAATCTTTCTTTTTACAGCAAATTTTTAGGAAGTTAGGAGTCGCATAATGTATTGGCACGGAATGAGAAGCCTGATGGAAAAAATAAAAAGAGATAACTTAAGTTTGATGATGTATAAAATGACAGACTTATTTTTTCTTTCATTTTAAAACTAACACATCCAATCCATGTTTGTTAAAAGTGCAACTATATATTTTTTAACTTACGCAGCAGCGCACCGAGATTTGAGCTTGTTCTAATGTATGACTCGCTAGTCTCGAAGAGGTTAATAACTTTTTTTTATGCCAGCAATTTGAAAATCTTTCCATAGGATTGTAATATTTATGTCAGAATGCTTTTTTAATAGTAGTGGCATAAAGAAAGGAAAGAAGTGTTTGACTTTAGACGGTCATTTTAGTTTACGCAAATTTTGCGTGGAATAAAATAGGCAACATTTCTAAAAGCTTCACGCACGCTTAAAAGCACTAATCATGATGACGAAAAGATTCACAAGGACTAATCATGGAAACTCTTTGGCTGTGATTTACATTTCTACAACATTAAAAATTGCAATTCCCACGTAAAAAGGGAAAGAAATGGCATTTAAAAAAAGGAAAAATATGATACGTCAAGTCTAACAATAATTTTGAATATTTATAAGACGCTTGCTATACGATCAGCATGTTAGCTGAAACTTGCAATAGCAAACTGATTGGAGCTGAAACAAGAGAGATGAAAATAATTAATATAATATCAATAAAAAAATAATTTTTTTTAAAATTTCCAATGAGCTGCACAATCGGGCTTGCCGATGAGCAGACCTAGTGCGTTCTCCAGAGGTGGTATCCACTCTTTCAGGACCACCACAATGGCTGAGATACCGTTGGTCATGTTAATTTGGACTTCTAGTTTCCGCCACACTAGATGGCAGCACCGAGACTCTATTTGGATGCTAAAGTGCACAAGGAATTTAATTTTGCCGGAACTGCCAAGCCAGAGATGCCAACTGCTCCGGACACGCCAAAATAATGAGAAAAAAAAAACGGTAAATAACTGCAAAGTAAATTTTGCAAATTTTTGACTAGTTTTGCTTGATTTTTAAAAGGTCCCCATGACTTAAGTATAATAAAGGGGTGAATTATATAAGCCTACGAATTATTCAGAAATAGTGGTTGATAAAACTCTACTAAATTGAATTTATTAAATCTGGAATCACAATTGATAAACTACCACTTCAAAATATATATTTGCTGTCTGGAGCAAGTTGGCATCTCTGAGAGCCAATAAGGCATTCCAGGGATCTTTTACATGCCGCATAATCATACGACATGGCCGCTGAGGATTTTCTGCATCCCGAAAGTCCGGTGTCTGGGCCGGGGATCGAACCCGCAGACCTGGGCTCCGAAGGCCCACGAGAAACCAACTGCGCCACCCAGCCAATCGAAAAATATTGAAAATTAAAATTTGAAATCGGACAAATTTTATTGAAAAAAAGAATTTAAATCGTTTGTTTAGATTGCACATAAAACTGTTTTGTGAAATAAACAAATTTATCATTTTCTAAGTTTATTAATGTTTGCTCAATTTACACAGGTTCATTTAGTTCACCGAGACAGTGATGGAAATATAGTCGTAATTGCCGGCTTCCTTTCGGTAGCTATATTATTTCTTTTTTTTTAAATTTATTGTAAGTTTTTTTAAAATTAAAATTACCATTGTGCATATGAACAGCTTCATAATTACCAACTTTCGAGGATTTCTAGAGTTCCTCAGAGCACCATTCTAAACAAGGGTCACGCATGGGTTCCAAGAATTTGTTAAACCTGTAATTAAATTTATATCAAATTACCCATTATTTATTCAATATTTACATTATTTTTTATGAAATTATTTTCTTATAAAATACTCGAAAAAAAAAGAGAAGCCAAATTTAAAAAAATATATTCTTTTTTCTAATTGCACTATATTGAATGAATATTTAAGAAAATATGGAATCATGAAAAATTTAATTAGTGTTTAGATTGAATGCAGCTAACCAAATTCAAGTATGAAGTATATGGGTTTGTTTAATAACCATTCTCGACATTCAGTTTCGGCAATTTTCGTTTCTATTTCAACAAAAATCATATTTCAATTTGTTCATTTTCAGTGTTAGCATACACTAAAATCAAATTAAGGAATAGACCAGTTGCACTTCCAGAACAATAAATTCAATTGTCCGTTATAAAATCCATTTTTAGTACTGGGATTGAATCGTGAAAGAAATCTATTCTTTACATAATTATTAAATAGTTTTATAGTAATTAATAAATTAACAACCATTAAGTATTTTCAGAACAATTTAGAGTTTCATTGCCAATAAAATTCAAAATTTCCAATGAATTTAATTCAATAATTCTCGTGGGTGCCGCTAAAAGAAAGTTGGTCATTTAAAGTTTTCCGAGGTTGGGTACTAATNTTAATTTTGCTACCGTCTGAAAAGAAGATTTCTGAAACTACGGAAATTCCGTAGCAGTTGGAGGGTATGACATAGTCTGCTGATCTCAAAGAACTTATACAGCGATAAATAATACACGATGGTTGAGATAGGGGCCGCTTCGCAGTGCGGGTGCCCAACTCATAAATCAAGTTCAGTTCAGTTCAACTTCAAAGACTAAAAAATGAATATTCAAGGCGTTTCCTCATGCTGACGCATTTTTTACTCACCTACAACAACAACTAAAATTTTGAAGCAAACATAGTTTAGAGCAAGCTGCTTTCATTATTTTCATTTATCTTTATTAACTCAATCAAAGTGCTTGAAGTGAATATAGAGCAACCCCACTGTCTACTAACCACGAAAACTCAATACAAGCGGAACACAACTGCGTAACGAATGGGTTAGACAAAAAATACTCTTAAAGTATCTAACTTTTGTACTTGAGGTCAAAAACTTCAAGTTAAACGTTAAGTCTCACGTGTTTTGACTAAAAATGAAACATTTAAATTTTTTTAAACTTACGATGCATATTAAACTTACGTTGTCATCCTATGAGATTAAACTCTACTATGAAGCTTAAGAAATTTGAATACAAGATCTTTAGTCGAAAAACGTGATGAGATATACTTATTTATATGTCTGGAAGTGACGTCATATATACACTTTTTAATTTTTTCCCCAAAAGAAAATGCTTTAAGATTCTAACAATATATTTAAATTTTTTAAAGAGGATGGAAATTTGGGTTATTTCGTACAGCATTGTGGCGACATTTTATATTCTTAGCAAAAGTTTTTAACTAAAAACTTTATATTTTTTTATAGGAAAGCGGCAATCAATTAAACTCAGCAATAGATAACCTTTTGTATGTAAAGCCTGCGTATGAGTACAAAGGTGAACACTACGAAGGAGAGATTCAACGTCCAGAAACAGATCCACGGAGACAAGGCAAAATTTATTTGGATGATTTAATTAACGAAAGGTGCCGTTACTATAGGTACAGTGGATCCATGGCCTTTCCACCATGCAATGAAGGCGTCACCTGGCTAATCTGCAGACAAGATAATCAAGTAAAAACCAACCAAGTATGTACACATTCAGCGTATGTTCATTAATAAAAGATATAATCTTTGCATCAGCTCACACAGTTATATCCGCAGAAAGGAGTGCTTTCTAATATTGCATCAATTTAGTCAAAGCAAAATACAGTGCACTCCCGATTATCCGGGTTAATCACCGGGACAGGTCGCACGGACAATCGAAAACACGGATAATCCGAAAACTCCTTTTATTTAAGAAAAATTCAATATCAGTAGAAAAAATATAAAAATTACTGACATTTGCATGCATAACATCAAACAAGGAATTTTCTTTATTAAAAAATGTGTAATACGTCTTCGCCATATATCGATGCACATATTTTACAAACCGCAGTAATGTCACTGTAATCTAATCCTCCCAAATAATCTAATAAAGTTTCCACAGAGCAGCAGAATGAGAAATTGTATTTCATTCATTTACTACATCTTCTGCATCAGTTACTATCATCACTATTTGATTTAATAACATAACGATGTCTTCATCAGTCAAATACTGGAAGCCAGGCTCACATGCATCACTTTGAAACCAATCTTCTAAATTTTCTTCATCAAGAATTTTGAAACCTTAGATTTCTTTTGCTTGTTCGAGAATACTGTTGTCATATTTTTCTTGAGCATCTGAAGAGGATTGTTCATCAAGCGGTATGATCTTTCTCCAAGATCGTGATAACGTAGAAGATTTTACCTTTGACCATGCTGCTGATATTCCATATGCTGCAATCCAATAACGAATATTGCTTCCAAAAATTAGGTAATGTTATAACTTCATGAATCAAATTTTTTTAATCTTGAAAATGTTTCTCTTAATATTTTTTGTGTGACTCCGGAATGAGCGCGGATAATCCGCAAACCGGATAATCCGCGCACGGATAAACGAGAGTGTACTGGATATCAATACAGTAGTGTAAGGAGCACTCAAAAAAATTTTTACAAAAAATTTTACAACAAATAAAATTGAAGACATTAAGTAAAAATATCACTTTAAAACAGAAAATAAAATGTAAGGAAAAAACAGAATAAAACATAAAACGAAATCTATAAAGCGAGTAGCGAATTCAAATGAACTTACATGTAAGGTGAATTTTTCAAGAATTATTTAAAATATTTTCGTAACATGATTGCCAGATTACGAGATATGAAAACAGAAACGCAAACTGAGGTAAGGGGCCGTTAATGAATGCAGCTAACCAAATTCAAGTATGAAGTATATGGGTTTGTTTAATAACCATTCTCGACATTCAGTTTCGGCAATTTTCGTTTCTATTTCAACAAAAATTATATTTCAATNATTTTTTTATATTTCGCGTTTATTTATGCATTGAATTTTCACGCTTTAAAATGCAGAATATTAGTGAAGCAATATTTGATAATTTATTTTGCTAATATGTTTCTTATTTAGCTAATGTTTTGATTTTTTCACCATGTACAATCTAAATAGCTAATATACTTTTTTAAAAGCCAATAAGAACATTGGTAGAATTCTTCTACATAAGTACAATACTATGTCTTTGATGATAAAATACTATGTCTTTGATGATAATATATTATGTCTTTGTGCTAGAACATTGTGTTCATTGGCGAGCGAGCGCAGCGAGCCATGGTTCACGGTGTGAACCACATAGGATTGCGTAGCAATTCTCGGGGGTTGGCGAGCGTTAGCGAGCAGGGGGCGGAGCATCCTAGTTTAATATAATTTATTAATTTAAATTATCTAAACAATAACATCCAACTTTATGCACGTATTTTGTATAATACCTCCCCCCCTCACCATCATACAAAACCGTACAAAATAGCAAATCCCCCCCCTTCGGGATGTACGTACTTTTTGAACGGCCCCTAAAAGCGTAAATAGATGGGTTTTGTTTTACAGTGCGTTCATACTGCATTACTGAAGCGCGTTTGATTTGTTAGTTACCCGATGGGCCCGAAAATGGATGTGTGCAAGGACGTATTATACTAGATAATTTAAAGAAGTTGACAATTATCAATTTCAGAAAACTAACTTTTATTTAAGAAAAAAAAAATAGAAAAGAGAAAGAAACATGAACCGAATCCAGAAGACAAGGAAACTCATGGATCAAATATTGGGAGAAATTTGCCTCCCATGATGACTTTAGGATGGAGGATTTTTTGATGGAACTAATTCATATTTGCGCTGCTGGAAAACCACGAAAACCTCCTACGGTTAGTCTGACGGCAAGGACACTCTAATTCATGATCCGGCTACCACTCAGGATATTTTACGTCAGCACAGTGGTCGGTGTGGGCTGGGTGTGGAATTCGTTTCGACCAGCGATCGCTAGGATTCGATTCCGGTTCACCTTAATGGAGGTTAAGTGCTATATCCCCTAAGCTACCACGTCGCCAGAATACATTAAAGGACTACCTCTCGAAAAGACAAAGTAATATATTAAACTCACATTATTATATCCAACTTCAAAGACTACTCAAGCAAAGTTTTTGAATCTACCTGAAAGCTCCCACATAGTCTGCTGATCCCAAAGAACTTATACAGCGATAAATAATACACGATGGTTGAGATAGGGGCCGCTTCGTAGTGCGGGTGCCCAACTCATAAATCAAGTTCAGTTCAGTTCAATTTCAAAGACTAAAAAATGAATATTCAAGACGTTTCCTCATGCTGACGCATTTTTTACTCACCTACAACAACAACTAAAATTTTGAAGCAAACATAGTTAAGAGCAAGCTGCTTTCATTATTTTCATTTATCTTTATTAACTCAATCAAAGTGCTTGAAGTGAATATAGAGCAACCCCACTGTCTACTAACCACGAAAACTCAATACAAGCGGAACACAACTGCGTAACGAATGGGTTAGACAAAAAATACTCTTAAAGTATCTAACTTTTGTACTTGAGGTCAAAAACTTCAAGTTAAACGTTAAGTCTCACGTGTTTTGACTAAAAATGAAACATTTAAATTTTTTTAAACTTACAATGCATATTAAACTTACGTTGTCATCCTATGAGATTAAACTCTACTATGAAGCCTAAGAAATTTGAATACAAGATCTTTAGTCGAAAAACGTGATGAGATATACTTATTTATATGTCTGGAAGTGACGTCATCGGAGGTGAATCGTGACATTTGACGATCAGATTCAGACCAATCAGATTCGACACACACTTGCGACGCAGCTTACAGCTATCCATTTGAATTTGACTTGAATCACATGGTAAGCATGATCACTTCACTTCTTTTCGAATTCCAAGCATCTAATGAAAGTTACGATTTTGCTAACTTATCCTTTTTTTCAAAAAAATAAACAAATAAATAAATAAATAATAAATAAATAGATAAATAAATAGTAAAAGCTTGGCAAAATTAATTTTTTTTTTTATCTGCAGGTGAATGAGCTGTTATCATTGTATTCTGTGAGTAGAGGGACTCCTAATGAAGACCAATGTCATCTCATAAATATTGATAGACCAGTGCAGCCATTAAACGAACGAAAAATTTATACTTAACGTGCTAGAAATTAAGGCAGTTATATTCGAATAAATTAAAAAAAAAAAGAAACTTCTATATATTTTTAAACAGAAAATTTTTTTTCTTTCATGATATATTTTATGTGTTTCATATAATTCATTTCTGTACGGCGAAAAGAATTATGTTACAATATAAGTTAAAATGAAATTTAAAAATAAAATGTGTTTTATCTTTCGTTGCTTTAATTTGAAATTGCATTCTTCAATTTTTCTTTAACCTGTGGTTTTTTATAGTATTTCAATAAATGAATTATTGAAATAAATTCTTTGAATAATACAGTTTTTTTTACTAAAAATATTTATAAGACTTTTATAAACTTTTTATTCGATTTTCCGAACACGTGATAGTTTATT